GACGTGTGCTCTTCCGATCTATGCAAATGCTATCACATGGAATAACTATCCCTTCGTAACAATTATAATTTGTTATCATAAACTGTTGTATATAACAATATAGAAAATTATAAATACATTTAGAATGAAAAATAAAATTCCCCATTATTTTATGGTAGTCCCTTACGGAAAAGACCGACTGCCGAGGTATTACTGGCTACTACATAGAAATATTATACACGAAACTACTGGAAATATTATTTGAAATCGCATAAACGTATTATTGACAATTACACAGTAAGTATTACTGCCGTGTGTGATTTTTTCGCACTACTTCCGAAATGTATTATTGCTAGTAATATTTAGGCAGTAATATTTGAATATGGATATGCGCAGTAATGAGAAATAAATTATTGAAAAAAAAATTATTTTATTTTATTATTACATATTATTGTTTTTAGTTTAGTTTATTGTTTAGAGTTTAATTTGTGTTTACTGTTCCGCATATTTTCTATTTAATTATTAATTACAATTTATACGCAGGTATAATTTTTGAAAACATCGAGATTCGAACCTGAGTTCCCTAGAACAGTAGACTTGTCGCTAACGCTGAGCTAATGATACTTTGTGCAAAAGACTTATTCTTTTCATTGTATATTCTATACCTCTGAGTTTTCATGTTTAAACAAATACTGTAGAAACTGATTAAAATAAGAATGTATATAAACAATAAATAATATAATCCGCATTTTTTAAAAATACAGGGTATTTAAATATTGAAAAAAATATATATATAGATATATTTACGCATGCATGTTTTTTTTGTATTACACTATTATTTATTTCAATATATTGCTATTAAAAATTTCAACAATTCTTTGAACATTAAAAAAATTGCAGAAAAGATGTTTTCAAATTAAAAAAATTAAAATAATTACAAATTATTCTAAAATTTATTATTCTTTGTCACTTTTAGATGTAATTATGTAAAACAGCGTTAAATATAGAAATATTTTAATAAAGGTATCTATTTTATAAGTGGAAATAATTTAATTTACTTATTTTTAAATCTATTTTCTTTTTGAAGATTTAAAAAGATATTTTTACAAAAATATTATTTATAAATAGAAAGAAGATTTGTGTTTATTATAATAAACCAATTATAAAGTTGATTTACAGAAGAAGTTATGATGCAGTAATTAATATTATAATTTATAAATGTTTATAAATCTTTATTCTAATTCAAAAAATAAAATATGTAAAATATGTCACATAAAAATAACATTCAACGTTACATTTATATCAAAGATATATTTACTTAATGTTACTCTTTTATTAAACGTAAAAAAATTATACTAATATATAATTAATTATTATATTACAGTGATATACTTTTACATGTAACTTTGAAATAGTAACATGAAAGTAACAAGTTATGTCTTCCGGATGTACTATTAACATAACAATTGTTACATTACTTGTTACTTCCAGGTAATGTAACTGTTACAAAGTATATTTAGTGAGAATATTGCAGATTGCACTGCAATGTTGTTGCGATATTATAGATATTAGGCAATGTAATTTATAATATACGTTATAGCGCAAGGTAGTAGCAAAATTATAAAAATGGTACAGCACAATTACAGAGACACTGATGAAAAATGCTGCACGTAAACGCAGGACCATTGTCTTTTAAGATATAAACCCATTCATTACATGTAGAAATATACGTTAATTGCATATACGTATATATTATATATACATGCAGGAACCGCAATATAATATTAATTTTAAATATACTGGGCTACTGCAATGAGGCGGCGCTAACTAATTCTCTAGATGTGAAAAGTTACATTTTAAAACCAATAATATATATACGTATATCGATAAGCTTTCAAATTCGATTGTAACTCAATCTGATTTGCGAAAATGTTTTTTAACGATTATAATTACGTTAGAGAATCGAAAAATTGATTTGGCTGCTACGCCGATTTCTGCTACGTGAGCAACAGCTGTTAATGTACGTGCGTAAAAGAGGATCCTGCCATTCGCCAGCTATAACCATAATTACTTGACTGACAATAAGTGAATGTATATATTGTGTGCTAGATTTTTGTTCTTAATTAATTGATTTCTTATTCAGCATATTGTATAATTATTATGCATTACAATAAGTGCAAATAAAAATTTATATATTGTTTTATCGGAAACAAAGATAAAATAAATAAAATTATTGTCTAATTAAGCTTGATTACTTTGAGGTTATGTTGCATCTTGGCGCATGCATTGGTTACCAATGTTAAAACTATATATGAAAATATATCTCCTGCAACGACCACAATTAATTATTTCTAATTCTTTGCTATTCAACGTTAATTGCTTTTCTAACATCATTGGATACACATTCCTTAAATATTGTTCTAATATTTATATGGTCAATATTTAATATACATTAAGTGGATATCAATCGTACCTTTTTTATAATTTTTCTATAATATTTTTATAATCAGAGCTATTTTTATTAGAAATTGCGAAATGCAATAGTTTTGTATTCCAGCAAACATTACATATTTAACGTACTTGTTAGTTGTAATTTCCCACTCAACATATAACTATAATATAACACTTGTGTAGTTATATTGTTGAGTGGGGAAATTACAACTAACACAAGTATGTTACATGTTGTCACTTGCTGTTTGCTGGGTAAGACAATTATTTTTAGTTATTAATTGATGCATGCAGATACATTGCGCTGCAATATGGCTATAACATTACAGCGCAATCTTACTTATAAAGGCGGACATTTTGATGTTGCTATGTCATTGCATCAATATTGCAAATATATTGCGCAATCAATTCGCAATATTACAAGATTGCAGTGAAACATTTTTGAAATCTCTTTGCAATTATTTTGTTTGGGTATCGGCATACAACTTTTTTTGTAGAATTATCATCACGGTTTACGACTTATAACATCGGTAAATGATGTATTATACGACAAACAAGTTTCTAATTTCTACCGTGATATAGTGTCGCCATCGTCAACGCGGAGTTCGTGGCTGACTAGGCAGAAGCCTTAATCGTATATATTATTTAAAAAATAAGAAAGGTTCATCCCCCTAGGCCCTGGTGAACATTTTTAAAAATTTTTCAGATTTTTTAAAATATAAATTAAAACACTTTTTAGTGTTGAGAAAGTCTACATCTCTTTTAGAATTCTTTATGTGAGTTCTGGAATATTCTAATTAATTCTTTGTATAAGATTTGGCAGGCGTTACTTTTGTATGCTTATTTATCACTGTTGAACTCGCTGCTGGTTTTGAACCTTTCTGCAGCTTAAAATTGTTAACAATCATGTAATATTTTTCCGTACTGATTGAAGAGGACTTAAACCAAGGGTTGAAATGTACGTGATTCCTCTTTTTATTTTAATAAAATATTTTTTTACGCTTTAACAACTGCGTTGGCTCTCATGGGCATATTTTATTTTATTTTAATTGCTAATTAATTCATAATTTTAAAAAATTTTTTTATTTTGTAATTTCTTCGAAGAAAACAAAAAAATCTAAAAAAATTTAAGCTATTTTTCAAAAAACTATATTTAAAATATAAAGAATTCTTAAAAATATTATAAAGTACTATGAAAATTTTTATTATCAGTATAAAAATAAGATTTTTAATTACCACACATTAAAATTATAATTAAAATAAGAACGCAAGATATTTACCGTAACAAAAACAAATTAATATAGATGAAGAATGTAATATGTAAAAGAAACTGCTAAATATTTCCAATTTACTAATAATATTATTAATAAGATAAAGCAATTATTAAATTTAATTTGTCAATAATATTTTAACGTAAGTATACGCGTTAACATAGTGTAGTTCACTGATGAATACAAGTAGTAACAGAATGGCCGGTAATTGCCACCATGTAAGTCTGACGTATTCCCAGATACGATATCGTAGATTTCCGGGCAGAAATATTGCCAAAAGCAAATAATCCATCATTGCATGAAAATTGAAGATCTTCCAGGCGAAAGTGATGATCCAAAAAGAAAAACTTCTGAAGACAATAGTTTGTCTATCGTAAAAATCATCTCGGTTGATTAGAAGAACATTTATGTTATCGGTCTCTAGAAGATCCTGATATACGGATATATATCGATTCCAAGCGGCGCTTATCAAAGAGAAATGAAGACCCACTATTAGCATATTATAAAGGGGTGATTTCCAGAACGAATTGGAGATGGCACTATAAGGTAACAATGATGGTAACAGTGACGTTTTAGTAGATTGTCGCTCGTGATTGACAGAATTATTCGTGTTACGATTCAAAAAGATATACACCGCGACTATAAGAGCAATGCAACCGAGACTATCGCAAATACCATCCATGAAGAAGCCAATAGAACCTATATCTGATCTCTCGCCCTTAATATTGAGCCTCGTTCTTGCCACATGCCCATCCAGATTATCCAACCAGGCTCTGATTTGAAACAAGACAACACCCACTTGTCTGTGAAAGAGGGAACTCTGTGTAATATATCGGACGCCGATTATGGCTATTAACACATGAGAAATACTGATAGTATTCGGCGTTAACCAAGTCCAAGAATGACTGATATCTAGCAGATAATCCACTAAGGATGCCAAGGGACTTAAGATGTAATGATTAGGATGATCCAGCATCATGGCTTTTACTGTCACTGTGCAAATAGGATTCAGATCACACAAGATAGATGAGTGATATGGCACAGCCCATGTATCATTCGTACGCGGACGAACGTCATAATTCTGCACTCTGAAGTAAAGTAGCAGATCCATCCCGATAAAATACAACAATAATAGTAGCAGAAACGTCAAATATGTTTTGTTGGTAAACATCAGTAAAAACATTTTCGGAAATCAAAGAATTTGAGTTATTACTCACTTACTATTTAATTTCTTTTCCTTAATTTTATACTTTTGCTTCTTAGTTTAATTAAATCTTACAATTATTTTCAATTTAATCAATAGTTTGTTATAATTTATCTTCTTTATTTAATTGAAAAGGTTAATATCTGTTTGTTATAACAGAATACTATTCTTATTAGAATTATCAGTACGTTTTAGATCCCACTTTGTGTATGTGCGTGCTGGCATACGCATATGTATGTGAATACATGATAAAACTTTTTAAAAATACATGCCAATATTTTCAACATCATTAATCATGTCATGATATTCTTTTTGCTGATTCTCTTCATTTTTTTTTGATATATTTAAATCCACAATACACATATATATATTTTTATACGTACATAAATTAATTTTTTTAATGTCCATCTCAATACGATAAACCGTGCAAATTGTTCCTTTTATAATAATAAACAAGTATTATTGACTCATCATTAATTACCACTATGTTATGGTAAAACTACAGTGTTAAAGTTAATTCATTATCCAGACCGAATATACCTTTGCAGCAAATACAGAGATAAATCAAACAGAAATAGACCATGCTGTAGTACATCATTATCGAGAGAGATATCTGAAAGATTTCATAGTATATTATTTTAGACTTTAGAAAAGATCTTACTCGATAAAAAAACACTCTTAAAAAATTAAACTTTTTAAAATGACTTTCGAAAATGAAGAGTATTAGATTAAGATAAAAGATAAAAAAGTCTAATAGAATTATATAATTATAGAAGTCTGAGGGAAAACAAAGGGAAAATAAGGTAAATATTTATTATGCGTGTGGTTCTACGTAGAGTCCCTCTAGTAAGTCAAGACATCAGCGAACTCTCTCGCGATTGGTCGGCCGCCATGTCTGGAGCAACTGATGTGTAGTGAATAAGTGAATACGTGAAGCAAACTGTTCTTGGTGTGAGTACGGTCTTATGTCTTGACTCTTACTAGAGGGACTCTAGTCCTACGAAAGGCTCAGCGTCACCTAGATCTAAAAGTACCACTGTAACTCTCGCTAAGAAGTTTTAATGGCAGCTTCACCCCCGCCGCTCGACATTTTCCGTTCGCTCTTGTGCCAGACACCAGTCCTTCTCAGCCCCTTGTCACACTATCGCTCTAAAAAGAAATATAAAAACGGATGTGAAAACTTGTGAACATAATTAATAACAAGTCTCCATATTTTACATCGTGATTTATATAATTTATATTGTACAAAAGAATATAAAAAAGAATTTTGACCATCGAAAGCATATAAAAGATTAGAAAATAATTTTATGCTAAATAAAGATTTTTTTTTAATAATAAGACAATTTTGATAAGGTAATTTTAATTTATTATTATGTAAATTTAGCTGTTAGACAAAATGTAGACTTGATTGAAAAAATAAAAAACAAGGTATGTATGGATACTATTACTGTTATAAATTTTACGAATTAAAATATGCAATACACATATGCAAGTACATATATTGCAGCAATATTGCTGATCACAAATTGATGCAAACGGTGCAAAGGGAATAGTAGTCTTTATGAATTCTATTACAGACTATTAAAAAAAAAACAGAAATAATAAGGCTATAGCCCAATATCCGATATGAAAACTTCCACATCAAATTGGACTTGTTATACGTTGATTGTAGGCCTTTATGAGAAAACTTTTTTTACCAAGTTTTTCAACTCTATTCTTATTATTTCAATAATGGCAAGCTAAAACAAAATTTTTTATCATAATTTATTTCTATTTCTAATTTACGAAAAATTATGAAAAAAATCAGTGATGTTCCAATTATCAAGAAACATATTTGGGAAATTTTAAAGATTTTTAGGATGCAATTCGAATTTTTAAAAATTCAAGTAGTTTAAAATTATCAATTTTTAAATAAAGTTGTTAAGTGACTAAACATACTTTGACAGATTTGAAAATTCTTTTCTAGAATTAAAGTATAGATAATAACGGAACGGATGAAAATATTATATATGAAAACGAAAAAAATTTCGAAAAGTTATCGACTTTAGCATCAACTCGTAACAATATTTACTTGATATAAGAATTTTATACTTTATACATATATATAAAACAAGTTGTTCCCGCTTGCCAGATTACATGAAAGGATAGCAATAGTAATGTACTTTTACTGATCCTAGATATTTAAATAGAAAAGTTTGTATTTACATGTTGTGTACATGTTTGCATGCGACAATATAATGAATAGTAAAAATCAACATGTGCTACATACTACTACATCAATATCGCACGCATATACATATGGGGAATTCTCTGTCAAAAGAGCCACGCCCCCTGCCCATTTCAATTTTTGAGATAAAAACTTCAAAAGATCTTAAAATTTTTTTGAAATGTTTATTTTTTGATGCAGTATGACCTTTTAAAAAATTCAAGATGGCGGATCCAGAATCGCGACTAAAATGGACTGTCGTCAAAAAATTTTTGGAACAAACTTTAATTACTGAAGCACAGGGGACTAGAAAATTTTTTTATTACCATAAATTAAAGTTTTGGGGATCGCTGAATGTGAATTCGTAGTCATAATTATAAAATTTACAATAGCGAATTCAATATGCCGGTCAAACTTCAAATCACTTTAGGATCATGACCTTGATAAAACATGTGAAGGTCATGACTACTGGAGATTGTTTTTCAGAAAATAAAAATAATTTTCAAAAATGAAAATAAAAGCAACAACCTTTAATGGACTTTAATGGCCTTGATCATGTGTTATCAAGATCATGATCCTGAGCAACATTCAAAAGGTTTTAATCAGTGTTCGGACATCTTGGATAATGTTATAATGCCGACGGTAATGCAATTTCCAAGCTTTATAACTCAAGATTTGCTTAATAAAAAAATATTTTATCTATGTGTTTTGAAAAGCTCTCAAGATAAGCTACAAGAATATGCAATAAAAATAAGAGGTTCCATTTAAAAAATTTGAAATGACCTTGACAGTGCCACCCAAGGTCAAACCAATGATACCATTTTATGTTCCTCTTAAATCAAACAACTCTTGTTTGAAACATTTTTTTGTATCTTCATAGTTTTCGAGAAATCTTAAAGCGCATTAAAAAATGGGACACCCTGTATAATAGATTACTAATAAAAACTATAATACGTGTTTTTACACGTATCCTGTATTTCTATCCAATCTGAAAGAACTCGCTTGAGATTGTGTTAAAATGATAAATGGTGAGAACATTTTTTTTATTCTCACCTATGAAAAATCCAATTTGATTCTCGATATCAGAATTACAATTCAACATATTTTCTACATCATCACTAATTTTATTTAATGCTGACAACCACGATAAAAGGCTTCTTTTCACACTGTAACAGGAAAACGATTCAAATTTAAACGTTCTATAAATTTGAATGCTCGTTGAAATAGAATTGATACAATTATATGCGAATATTTGTGCTTCTTACAATATTCGATTCAAATCACTTGTATACACATATTACAAGTATACTTAGTAAATGATGCACAAACTGTGTGCTCCTCGCTACAATACGTGTTTTATAATGTCGCTAGACAAAACATAGATTTTACTTGTTAATATGACGTCTAATGGTTATTGATCAAACATGTTGCAAGATTTTCCAATGCTAAAAAAGACATATAAAATACGATTATGTAACAATTTGAAACTACTAAAAAACTTATACTTATACATAACCATGTCAGCTAAGAACAAAGATTTAAATTAGACAATATAATATACATATAATATATATGTATATA